TCGCGAACCAGAAAAACACAATAAAGCATGCAGAAAGGTCTTGACACATGGTAAGTATTCCATATTAATTGTAATTTAATCACCTGTATTTAATTGTAACTTAGCCACTTGCATTTTAATCACTCCATTAAATTATCTGGTAAAGATTTTCTCTTTACTTTTATCTCTTTTACTTTTCTTGTGTTGACATCATTTGGATTTAATTCTGTCATCTTATTGTTTAATTATACTTGATTGTTTATCTCTGAGGCTTGAAAAAACTTCTCATCTGGATTGAAGATGTAGATCAGAGAATTTACCTGATCAGTTTGAGGCCTTGAGTTCTATCAGCACTCTATAAACTAGACAAGAGGGTCCGGAATTCAAATCATAGTGAGCCTGGGCTACATGAGCACCTGTCTCAAAAAAATGTATCAACTAACACTGTGATTATCCCATAATATGTGTGTGTCTATGTGGGTATTTACAAAATACTCAGTATCCACATCTATTTTAACCCTTGGTTCATGTTTCTCCTTATAATTCAAAATTTTTATTTGGGGCCTTGTTCTTGCTTCCTGGAATGCGTCCTCAGAACTTCTTTGTGCATTCAGGGGTGGTTCTCAGGTCGTCAGCCTTGGCAGCAAACATGCTGAAGAGCCAACCCGTTCCCCTGGCCCTGCGGAGCTAAAATGTTGACAGGTATGTATAGCTTTTTCTGAAGTCAGTCTTTTTTAAAAAAAATTTGAGATAATGATGGGTTTTCCCTTGTATTTGTAAGATAATATAACAACTGATAATAGCCATGTGATGTAGAGTGATGAATACATGTTGAAATTAGAGGTTTTACAATACTGCCAATAAAGGAAAACCAGAACTAAGAGGAAAATAATGCAGGGGCTCTTACAGGCTGATCAGCCAGCTTCGTCAGTGAGGACATCCTGAGGGAGGACAGGACAGGAACACAGTCCTCAGTTTCCCCTCTGGAGACATCCTGAGGGAGGACAGTACAGGAACACAGTCCTCAGTTTCCCCTCTAGAGACATCCTGAGGGAGGACAGTACAGGAACACAGTCCTCAGTTTCTGTGGAGACCCAAAAATGTGAGCCTATTTTCACTTTGATGATCAGAGAGTTGGAGGTTGCTCAAAGGACTGACAAGTGTAGTTTCATGCCCCAGCTCAGGATATGATTGCTTGATTTTTTTTTTTTAGCATTAAAATAGCTCATACACAGTTGGTCCGTGCCATCCCGACAGGTGGTCAGTATATGCAAACATGCTTCTGTTCCTTCTCTTACAACTATGAAGTCACCTGGGGAGTGGCTGCCTTCAGGAAGTTTGCTCTAGAGCAGTTACACTGCCTAAGCAACAAAATGCTAATGATTTAATGTCTCAGAGTGTTAAAATGATTGACTGAATTGTCCTTTGTATCATGTTAGTAAAGTCGTTTGTTACATTCTCCCCCATTTACATTGGGTATAAAAGTTATGAAAAAATAAACACAAATGACTTCAGTATTCACTGGAATGCCCTCCCAGTACTTTCTATGGTTTCTATGGTTCTATTATTTTTCATGCGTCTTTATATTCTTTACTTTATTTCTAAATTCCCACCTTTCATTTCTTCACACAAGTTAGAGATCACTTCTCCACGTTTTTATTACAGACGACTTTAACATCTGAACTCCTTTCAGCTTTCAATTGGATGTTGTTTTATTGGCTCTTCTGTGACGGGCTACTGCCTTTCAGTTTTGTAATCTTGGACCAAGAGCTCATTTTTGTTTGACCTAATCTATGGGAAGTATGAGATAAAAACTGAGGATGTCTGTCATTCCTTCAGGCAGGGACTTCTTTGGGGATCTCAGATGAGTTGCTGGCTCAGAACTCCTTAAATTCTTTTTAGGAATCTGGGAATCCCTCATGACTCTAGGCATGGATACTGTCAGTTTATCTAGATAAAGCCACTAGGAATGACAATACCACAGGTGAGAAGGCCCTGGGCATCACCACAGGTGAGAAGGCACTGACCCCTCCACCCACTGGGCATCTCCACTTAGCAAAGTGCACATGTTACAGATGTGGTCCATAGCTGAAAGCTGCTTCCCAGCATCCCAAGAGGACCTTACACATACTGCCAGCCTGGGACAGAATCCACAGGCAGAATCAGAAATGTGATTTCCACTCAACATGTATTGTTTTTACACCATCACAGAGTCCCACTGTAACCCTGGAAGCAGTCTATACTTTCTTCAAGAAAGATGTCGCCTTGCCTTCCTGAGCCTAGCAGTCACAAGTCAAAGCTCAATTTACTTAATGAGTTTTGTTTTTCAAGTATTTTATTAATTCCTTATTTTTTGTACAACATTTTAAATACATGCAAAAACTAAGGTTTTGCAATGGGAAACTCTGTGATCTACAAGTCAGAAAGATAAATCTCGTATTGTTTTGTTTTATTTTACTTTGGTGATGCCAATCGAACACAGGGCCTTGTGCAGGCTGACTAAAGGTGAAGGGTGTACAGCAAGACTTTGATACATAGATGTCCTAGTTAGCTTTCATTATCAGCTTGGTCCAGCCTAGAGTCATCTAGCGAGAGGAAAGCCCCGTGGAGGAATTGATTCCATCAGACTGCCTTGTTGGCATATCTGTGGGAAACCTCTTGATTGGTCATTGACATAGGAGGTTCCAGCTTACTGTGGGCTGCACAATTCCCTGGGCAGACTATCTCAGGCTGGTTAAGGAACCGAGCCTCAGCCTGAATGATTTAGCATTGATCCTCCATGGTTTCTGCTCTACGTCCCGGACTGTAAGTTCCCTGGTTTGAGGTGACGCTGCACAAAACAGCAAGCCGGCCTGCTTCCAAGTTGTCGCTTCAGTTCCTGTCCTGACCTCCCTTAATGATGGACCGTGGCATGGAAGCATAAGCCAAAAAATTTCTTTCTTCCCATAAGAAGTCAGGCACAAAACTGACTGGAAGATTAAACATAATTAATAGTGAACAAGATGACTGCTAGTATAATTAAATTCAAATTCCTCTTAAACAAGCCAATATAATGTTATTTTTACCTAAAATGTTACAACAAATAGAGTCACACAAAGCAAATGCAACTAATTATGTGTACCTAGTATCTGAGCATATGATAGTAAATGGCACCAAGTGTATGAGTACCTAGTACCCAAGAAGATGGCAGCAAGAGGAACCAAGTGTATGAGTACCTAGTACTCATTGAATGTGACTTGGAACAAAGCCATGGTGTGGGAAGTCCTTCTGTATATGTGTTGCTTTTATTGGTTAATGAATAAAGAATCTGCATTGACCTGTGATAGGGCAGAGTAGAGTTAGGTGGGGAAAACTAAACTGAATGCTGGGAGAAAGAAGGCGGAGTTAGAGAGATGCCATGCAGCCACCAGAGGGGAAAGTGAGCTGCCAGCTGAAAGCTTGCCGGTATGCCTCAAGCCTCATGGTAAAATATAAAATAATGGAAATGGGTTAATTCTAGATGTAAGAGCTAGCTAGCAATACACTTAAGATATTGGCCAAATAGTATTGGAAATGATATAGTTTTTATGTGATTATTTCGGGTCAGAGTGCTGGGAAATGGACAAGCAGCCTCCTACTATGAAGCCAGGCCAAGCTACACTGGATACTTCCCTTTGGCCAAACTCACTTCCCTATTCAGAATTCACAACCACCCTTGGCTGGCTTAGCTACAAAAACTATTATCATCTTTGTTTTACACACACAAAAATGAAGGCAGCATATGGTCATTATTAAGCCAAGGCTGGAGGTCACACAAACAGGACAATCAGCCTTCTGCACGCTGGGGAGCCATGGCACAGAATATATCACCCTGGGGTCTGTGAGACACCTGCTGTTTCTGGCAAATTCATACACTGTGCAGAGTGGGAGGGGTGTTGCTGGATCTCTCAGTCTTTGAAAAGCTGGGCAAATACACATAAGGTAGAGATGAGAGGAAGTTTACACAACCGAGATGGGCTTCTCTCCTATCTCCAAAGATAAACAAATTAATAGAGAACTATTTGAACAATGCTATTAGGATGTTTGTCTAATGTCTGCAGTTATAAAAGGCCTCATATTAAGAACAGGTATAAAGGGGCTGGAGAGATGACTTGGCAGTTGGTAGCTCTGGCTACTCTTGTAGAGGAGTAGGGATTGATTCCCAGCACCCACGTGGTAGCTCACAGGCTCCTTCCATAACTCCAGTCCCAGGGGACTCGACACCCCTTTCTGATATCCATATGTATGAGCACGTGCCTGGTGTACATACATACATAAAAGCAAAATACTCATATATAAGAAATAACTATTGGGCTGGAGAGATGGCTCAGAGGTTAAGAGCATTGCCTGCTCTTCCAAAGGTACTGAGTGTAGGGCCCGGGTCTACCCTTGCTCCTGGGGTGCATCTTGAGGACAGTTTCTGGTTAGCCAGCTAAGCATCCTGTTTGTTCCTGTGCTCCCTTTGCCTTGCCTGGTGATTAGCTGTAGGGCATTGTTTCATCTCTGGTATGGTAATTTCCCACCTGCCTGGTCGGAAATCCTTGTGCAGCAGCCAGGTATAATAGGATTTCCCCTAAATTGAATAAACGACATTCGGCTGATCTCCTTTCGAATGACCCAGGTCTCTTGTGTGTTCTTTCAATCTCCAGGCCCTTGCCCAACTCGTGGATGGTACAGTGGCGTTAACTGTACCGAGGGGATAACACAGAATCGGGTGTTAAACCTGAGTTCAATTCCCAGAAACCACATGGTGGCTCACAGCCCTCTGTAATGGGGTCTGGTGCCCTCTTCTGGCCTGCAGGCATACACACAGACAGAATATTGTATACATAATAAATAAATAAATATTAAAATAAAAAAGAAAGAAATATTTAAGGAAGAATAAACTAAAGAATAGGTGTAAGAATAGTTAAGTGAAGGTAACTTCATAGGAAATTTGATAAAAGTAAAAGAGTCAAGGGAAGAAATATAAAGGGAAAAGCAATATGAAGCTGGGTGTGGAGGTTGCACACCAAAACGCAGCAACAGGAGTAATGCCCCCAAATTAAACATTAAAAACGGAAACACAAAATTAAAGACCAAAACTTTACATTATGTATTTTTTTTTCTTCAAAACACTTAGATTTTCAAATAGCAGATTGCTAGTGGTTTCCACTAAATTCGATCATTCTGCTGCAGGGAGGTGGAGGCTCACAGACCCAGGGTTCCAGGAAGCAGAAGTATGAAATAGTCACAAGGCATTTCCTTGAGATTGTACGAGCAGTCATGACTGCTAGACAGGGCCTCTTAGTGCCCCCCTCCAGGCCTGTGAGCATTCAGGAGTGCAGCTTTTTTGAGTTGTCACCTGTGCTGAGTGGGCTTTGGGGATGAATCTGCCTTGGAGTCACCCTGTTTCTGCAGGTAACCCCTTGTTCATGTGAGTAGCTCCAATACACTCACTGGCTTCAAGTCTCAGATCTCTGCCAGCGCCCTGTCTGAGTTGGTTCATGTCTTCCAGGAGAAGTCATACAATACTTCAGCCATTTAGAATTAATTAAGAAACTGAAAAACGGAATCCTTCAATTTTCCTGAAGACCAAATATGATGTATTGTTATGGTTCTTACTTTTAAAGATACATCATATAAAAATAAAATCACATCATTATGGGTTAGGAGAAGGGATCAACTTCTATTTGTTGAAATGCATTGGAATCAAAGAGAGGACTGGCTTTTCTTCCAGTTAGGAAATGCATTAAAAGGAATTCTGAGGGGGAAATTCAAAGCTACGTTGAGATCTGATGTTATTAAATGGTAGTTATGGGGAAATGTATGTGTTCTGTTGAAACTTTCAGTGTAAAAGGCAAAAGGAAGATGCCAGTATCTCTGCCAGTATCGTGAGCTAATAAAGCAAGAGTTCACCTTTCCTCACACGCTGGAATGTCTGTCCTGAGTTCATAGGAGGCTCTTCCGGGTCTCTGGTCTTCCTGGTTTCTGACAGTGAGGCTGTAAAAAAACAAGACAATTATTGTTGACTGAGAATGTCTGAAGAAATATATTTCCTAAATGAATATTTTAAAGATAATTTTTAGATATTCAAATAGAATTACTTTTTAAAAAAATATGTGACCCTGATTACTATTATTATTATTGCTTGAGATGGGGTTTCTTGGTGTAGCTTTGGAGCCTGTCCTAGAACTTGCTCTGTAGACCAGGCTGACTTCCAACTCACAGAAATCCACCTGCCTCTGCCTCCCGAGTGCTGGAATTAAAGGAGTGTGCCACTGCCCGGCCTCTGATTGTTATTTTTAAGAAGTTTGAAAGTGGGTGAGTGGTCAAGGCACTTTCTGCAGAGAAACAGGGTTCAGTTCCCAGCACCCACATGGCAGTTCATGTTCCCAGGGATTGGATATCTTCTTCTGACTTCTGTGGACACCAGTCACACACGTAGTACTAACACATGTTTAGGCAGAACACACAATAAAAAATAAAACGAAGTAACTCTTCTATAAAAAGAAAACAAGCCAGGGATGATGGTACGTGCCTTTATTCCTCGCACGTGGAGGACAGAGGCAGGTCTGTTGATCTCTACGAGTTTTAGGCAAGCCAGGGCTCCATGGGGAGACCGTCTCAAAAACCAAAACAGAAAAGAAATGAGTGGGGTTTTTTTGATTTTTTTTTGGGGGGGGTAGAATTGGTGAGATGGCAGATGGTCCATTTCTGCCATTTGAAGAACTGACTCCTTCCTGGGTAGTTGGACCAGTGTACACTCTTGACCCGTCTGATGGGTCTCAAGGGATGCTTTCCCAACTGCTGTTAGCTCAGTGGATTTGAACTGTCACTGTGGTTTTGATGTGCACTTCACTGATGGTTGACATTGTCAAGCCTCTTTGCATATATCACTGGCTATCACAATATTTTCTCTGAAGACATGTCTTTTCCTATTCCTTAACATTTAAATATCAGTATATCTTTTACTTTTGAGATATATGGCTTTATACATTCTAAAGATTTTATTTTTGTGTACATGGGTGTTTTGCCTGCATGTATGTCCATGCATCAATGCCTGCTTGGTGTCTACAGAGGTCATAAGAGGGCATTGGATGGATCCCTTGGAGCTGGGGTTACAGGTGTCTGTGAACCACTGTGTGGATCCTGGGAACAGAGTCCATGTCCTCTGTAAGAGCAGCCGGTGTTCTCAACTGTGGCAGCTTTAGATATTTTAGATACAAGCTCGAACGACAGTTATTTTATGGATGTTATATTCTTTTTCTTTACTCATCAGTTTTAATAAAGGTTCTTTTGGACTTTCGGGGTGTTCTTGCGTCATTGAAAAATAGGGAGGCTTTTTTCTGCTCTTTCCAAGTCCTAGACTCCATCTGTATGCTTCCTCTTGGCTGATGCCTACCACACACTGTTAAATGGCAGGAGAGGCTCTCATGTCTTTCTCTTATTCTAAACTTTAGCAGGAAAGCTTCAGAAGCCCTGAAACTTAAAATGATGTTTCATTTTGATGCTGAAGACCAAACTTAGTACTTCATGAATGCTGAGCAAGGGTTTTGCCCCTTCCCCATCTAAATGAATTTGTATCCTTCTTGATGGAGGCTTTTTGTTTTGCTGCTGCATTATCAGTGTTTCTGTTCATTTTCCAAGGCTTTTCCTTAACATGCTAGCTATAAAAGTCTTTGAGCCTGCTTTTAGCAATTAGTTTTCTAAGTTTTTTAGTGTGTGTGTGTGAGAGAGGGAGACAGAAACAGAGAGACAGAGAGACACACAGAGAGAGCTATTTTTACATAAAGACAAAATCATTAAAAATTCAGAAATCCTTTTGACTTATTTCTTTTATGAAACCGAGGCTAAAACGTTTCAATAAATAATGATTTTTAAAAAATGAAACAAAACAAAATAAAAAACCCATGGGAGGCACTGGGGTGGCATCCTATGAATGTATCGGGCAGCATTTATCCTGCCTGACTTCCTGGCTTCTTTGTAAGCAGAACACATGACTGCACAGTGGGTGTGAAAACGCAAAGAGAAAAAGGAATTACGAATATGACACAAGGCTGCAAAGAGAATTGGAAGCTATATTGTAAATTTAATGATGCAAAAATTTACTCAAGCTTTGACATTTTTCACCTTATTTTGCTAAAGCAGAGCAAATTTAAAGGGGAAAATGTTCTCTAGAGAAAAAGCACAAGGTATTCTTAATGGTTCACTGTGTTTGCAGGGGTCTTCTGTGGCTGTTATCCCAGAAGACGAGGACAAACCCAAGCCAAGGCCCTGCTTGCCATACTTCAGCAATGTTCTATAGGACTCAGGGGCTTCCCTTTCCAGGAAGAAAGGAGGGGGACACCCTCCAGCATTACAGAAAATAATAAAGTTCATTGCTTTATTAGTATCTGCTAATTATATGACTTCTTCACACATGAATATAATGCATTCTGACCACATTCGTTTCATTGCTGTCCCTTGTCCCGTTCTTGCTCCCAGTGACCCTGTTCTTCTTTCCAACCAGTCCTTCTACCTTTATCCCCCCCCCCCTTTTCTTTCTGTTTGTTGGTCTGGTGAGTTACCGTTAGGTGACATGGGTGACGTTAGTATTCCTTACGTGGCATCGGTGACGTCAGCGTTCCTTAAGTGACATGGGTGACATTAGTGTTCATTACATGTCATGGGTAAAGTTAGCGTTCCTTACATGCCATGGGTACAGTTAGCGTTCCTTATGTGGCATGGGTGATGCTAGCATTCCTTACGTGGCATGAGTAAAGTGCTATTTACAGGAACATGAGCAACTCAGCAGTGGCTAAAGCGTTTCTATTTTAGACAAAAAAAAAAAAAACCAAAAACCAACCAACCAACCAAACAAACAAACAAAAAAACCTGAGTGCTTCCCTTTCTATTAGAAGGCCATGAACTGGATTCTGAGAGGAACGTCATTGGGGCTTAGGAAAATATTGCTAGTTATCTTTCTAGAAAATTTACTAAGTATACCAACACAGGCACATCTTAAAAGAATGCTGAGGGGGAAAAAAATCAAGGAAATTGAACCGTTTTCCACTAACGTGAAAACAACACATTATATTTCTGGATAATTATGAATCCATTAATTTTAGAAAAAAAGTTCTTCTCAACCCACATAAACTTGGTTGTGTAGTCTCCCTACTCTCTACCCCAGACACAACCATCAATGACTCATCCATCACTCTTGCTCACAGGTGTGCTACTACGCACACATATGCATTTAGATGTCATGCAAGCAAGATTTTACACTATCCATTGCTCTGTAATTGCTCCCCCTCCCCCGTCGCACTTGAGTTTAAATGACAGTGGCATGAAGACACCATGAGGCATGGATCTACCTATTTCTTGTTTGTGAACTGTGAAGCTCCTTTTCTCATCGAGACTGAGGCCATAGCAAACCCTCACAGACATGATTTCTGCATGTGCTTTACTGTTTTTTAGGGGCTTTCTGGGTACACATGTAGAAGGGTGGATGTTTAACCTGCATTTTTTTTTTGAGGCAGAGTCTGTAGTCCTGTAGTCCTCTGTAGTCCTGGAACATAATGCGTAGACCAGGCTGGCCTTGAACTCACAGAGATCCGCCTGCCTCTGCCTCCCGAGTGCTGGGGTTAAAGGTGTGTGCCACCACTTGCATGTATCTTAGTCTTGTTGGCAGGAGCACATGTAGATACCTTTCCTGTGCCATTTCACTCGCTTGTTTTTCATCTGGTCATTTTATGTCCTGAAACTCTTTGTGTATTATGGATATGAATTTTTATTAAGAACATTGTAATGATCTTGTCTAAGTATGTTTTATCATTCTTTTTTTTATTTTATTGCTTATTCACTCAAGTAATGTATATGTGGGGGTACCCATGTGTGTGTGTGTGTGTGTGTGTGTGTGTGTGTGTGTGTGTGTGTGT